AACATGAGGCCAGGGCAGTGACTCGCCTGCTTGCACTGACTCGCTGCTGTAGGTCCTGCTTGTGAAGCATGGGAGACGCTTAATGAAAAGAAGGATCTTACCTGGTGCTTGAAATAATCTTGTGTAGCCTGACTAGAAAGGTAAGGCACAGATATGTTTTTACATGGTGTATCATGCTACCTGCATACAAAAAAAAAGTAGTGCCTGTCCCCCAAAATGCTTTGCATGTAGAGGATGATGCACTTTTGGGAAGGAGAAAACAGATGAATCACTTCTGTCCTGAAAAACAGTATTGATGACCTCTCAGGTTACAGTCCTGCCGAAAGTGTTGCATGAGAAACACTGTTACTGCAGCTTTCCTTTGGAATTTCATTTTTACTTTTGGCAACAGAAACAGTTGCTCATGTCTACTGTGTCAGCTGCAAGTATTAAAGCATATAGAGAAGCTTAAAGTGCATAATAGTTATACGGGTCCTACAGCCTTCATGGAGTGTAATTTAAAAGTCTGCCTCTTGAGAGTCTAAAAAAAAAATGTTCAGTTACCTTGTTCCTATATTTCATTAGTTTAATCACCGTTCATTGTAATGGAATCTGTGTTTAAATTACCAAATTACATCAATCCCAAACTAAGACTACAGTGGTTCGGCGTGTGACGTGGGCGCTCAGGTCCAGAGCTTGCTGTTTGGCTGTACAGCAGAGCAGTGGCTGATCCAGGATACTGGCTGTAGTTAACTCTTTAATGTCTCATTGATCAAGCGATAACCGGTGACATTAGAGCTGCGTTCAAACCGCTCGTGACAGCTACTTGCAGGCTACCAGAACATCAGCATTCTGGAGTCCGTGTATTTCCTGTTTTGATCTCTCTCACTTTTAAAATAAAAGATTTTTTTGAAGATGTTCCTGTATTAATAGAACCTGTGATAAGTTTGTATGCTTACGTAGCTGTAAACTTAACCCATTAACCTTGACACTGGCCCTTTGTGCAGATGCAGTGTGCTTTATATATGTAAATATATACCTGCTTCTGTTATACTTGTCATTCGCTGCCTTGCAAAACACGTACAAATTCTTGATGATTGTTTTGAGATGGTAATACTGTATTGTCCATTATTGTCAGGGACCATTATGTGGTCAGTGGGTCAGCACAGAATATTAACGAGAGGTAGCTGGCCGGTGAATGGGGTGGAGAGGCTCTGGGCTTTCTCCAGCACTTGAATTGCTGTTTTCTGAAGAGGGAGCCATAGAACACAGCACTGCTGGTGCTTGTTTGGGGCTGTCTGGATTGTTTTCTTTACCATTCTCATTAGTACAAGGCTTTGATAGAAGTATTAAAAAACAAAACTGGTTTAATATGTTCTAGTTGTACATGCTCTTAAAGAAAAGTTTGATTTCGGAAGTTGTAAGGGATCCACTGACTAGGCATACACCCGTTGTGAACATCAGTGCAATAACTAAAGCTGTGCTTTGGCAGCTCTTGAATTGACTGCGTAACTGCTCATCTGACTTTACCTGGAAATACTTCATAAATCTGCATGAGATTCAATGTGTTCTATGTGCAGCTGGGAAAAACACACTGTGGTTTAATGAATGCCATACATTGCTGATATGGGGCACATTACATGAATACAACAGTAGCGAATTTTTAAAACTGTAAGGTTTGCATGAATGAGGTAGGATTGAGTTCTGCCAGGTGCTGTATAAGCACAAACAATCTCTATTGCAGAAAGCTTATGGACAACATACAAGACAAGAAGCAGCACGCAGGTGGTGAGATGTTCTTTGTCAACAACCCAAGCAACCTGCTTTCTCCTTGGCAATGGTAGCCCATCAAATCCAGCAGTTTGTTGCAAGGATGCCTGTGTTCTGAAATATTCTGTCATTAGTTTTGAATTAACTCATTCACCCCCTCATTTGTGGATTAATTCCTTCTAATGCAAGCAAACATCACAGTTGTGGTTGTCCAGGTATTGTTAATCTGCATCATACACAGGCCGAATACAGTAAACCTAGGTAATGAACTTGGATGAGGACAGCTTTGTTTTAGACTAATATTGAACTCCAGGTGTGGCTGTTGAACTGTATTAAGTATTACTTCTACAAAACACTTTCTTTTATGTGGATCTGGAGTGCCGAGTTCATTATTTAGGACTGCATGTTGATTTGGACCCCTAAGCTAAGATGGAAAGAGTTCTTGGCAAGTGCCTTGCTTAATTCCTTAATTCACTTTTGGTCGAGATTGTTAGCTTTATTCCCCTCCCCCATTTTCTTTTTTTGCCTCTTGTTACATTTCTTTTAAGTAGTGCATTTAATAGCAAAGTGAATAGAAATTGCATGCTGATCACTGCCCTAGTGGTACATACTCTTGTTTACAATTTCAAGGCTGCTTTGAACTTGGCTGTTTCTGAAACAACAAGAACATTAGTAGCATTACCATGATTACAAGCTGAAAGCTTTTAAGATTAGCAAAATAGAGTGGTAAAATGCAATCTTTGTCCTAGGTTCTGTGGTATGTTTTTACTTCATTTTTCTTCTCCGGGATTTTATTGTTAGTATGCTATAGCAAACAGCACTAGGTTTATTTTTCCTATAACAACACTGATGCCTACTACAAACTATAAATCTTCATGGATCAATGAACAATATTGTGGGTTGTCAAAAATCTCTGACTTTGTATCTTGGCATAGTAAACTTCTTTTTGAAGTACTTTATTGTAATAAACTTTAAATCTGTTTCCGAGAGTGTTGGCCAAGCATGTTGGTATGCTGATAGATTCCTCCCCCCCCCCTTTTTTTTTTTTTCCCCCCAGTGCTTACCTCAAGTCATTTATTTATAAGGCATTCGGGGGGGGAGCGGAGGGGTGGATTGCTGTTCCCATGCTGCTTGCCTTGTTTTGCTGACTTCTATCAGTCAAAACTTCACGTACTCTTTGAGCTCTCGCTCCTAACTTGGAAGTGAGCACGGACATTTTGGTCTCTTATTTGGCCAGCTAACTACCACTAGTATGCCCCATCCGCCAAAGCAGCCTGTTCTCTAGGCGGTGCCTGTACATCTGATTTTTGTTGTTCTTCGCATCATGAGCTAACTGTGAGAAAGTGAGATCAGAGGAACCATTTCCAACACAGTAGCCGTATCCTGGGGAGCTCTTTATAAGGCTGGTCTGACAATATCAGATTTTAGGGGGCCACGTAGCGTGTTAATCACCACAGTGGAGCTTGTCTCCTACAAATTTGAGGTGCGGAGGCTGTGCGAGTGTTGTGGTTGGAGGCCAGAGGCAGATCTCCAGCCTGAGATTAGGATATTTTCGTTCTTTTGGGAAAAGTGCAGTGGTTGGGCAGGTGGCGTAAGGAAAGAAAATGCATCAAATGGGTTACCACCGATAACTACATTTATTCCAACTCCCCTGCTCCGTAGTTGCATATATGACAGGTATTTTAGGCATTTATGTGCTGAAATAAATGCTCATTTGAATGACGATCTATCATGGAAATGGATATATGTAATGCGTTAAAATAGCTAATGATGTTTTTAAGGTTAATGGCAATTGTGGAGCTGTTCAGAAATTAATCAAGATCACATGCTTTAAAAGCAGTTGATCTTTCACATCTTTTTGTAAACAATGTTGTGGCTTTTAAATGAAGTCACTTTCATGATAAGGAAAACTTCTGCATTTGGAGAATGCTGTATCTCAGAGTAGTAAGTGTTTAGAAAAAATAAAAATAGTGGAAAACCTCAAGTGCTGTATTTTTGTAGCATTCGGAGCATCTATAAGGGGTCTCAGAGGAACAAGACTGCTAAGCTGAATTTAAGTATGTTTGGTCGCAGTACAAAAGAAGCCATGGACAGAAGTTGTACTTCCCCCTATGCTAAAAGTGAACTGCATTCCTTGTACAGCTAGCTGTCAGTGTAGAGGTCAGAAAACATCATGATGGTTATTAAAGGACTTGAGCTTTTTCCTGAAGGCTGCATACCCCGGAGGGGCTTGTGAGCTGCTGGTACAGGTGAGGGCTCTGTGCAGGGAGCCCAAGCTGCTCGTTTCCCATCTGGGCAGCCTCTGCTGCCCTCGTCCCCGTGTTCTGCTCCCTGAAGGTTTGTCACGTCGGCAGTGCTGCCACGGGCCACGTGAGCTGGCATAATGCTGCCGTGGCCCTGAGCCGGCTTTACCCGGGGGCTGAACTAACCGGGGGGCACAAGATGGTGAACTAAGGCTCAGTCGGTCATGAGCAGTTGCCTGTCTGGTTGGTGATACAGTTTAAAAGCAAACACCATCTCCAAATTTTGATTTTTCTGAGTGGCTGTGTGAAGGATGTGGACCTCTCTATTCTTGTTTGGTTCCCCCAGAGATGAATATTGGATGTGTTTCTTTGCTAGGTATCAGCATCGCTAGGTCACTTGCTTTAATTTCAGTGACTCCAAATCTGAACGAAGCCCTGGAGTGGTGCGGTTTCACTCGTGTGTGCAATGTAAATCGGTACTCGCTCGTTCAGTTACTGCTCTATATGGAGAGGATTTTCCTGGGGTAATTTACAGGTGAAACAAGCGATGCGTAGACAGCGTGCTCAGCTCAGTAACGAAGGAGCATTTACTCTAACACAGGAAAACGCGCTGGGACCGGAGGGTGGCTGCTCCCCTCTGCGGGACGCCAGCGCCCGCCCGCACAGGCGCCTCTGAGGTGACTCCGCAGGGTCCTGCCTGGGCGGTTTCTCCTCCCCCTTGCAGCA